TTCTATAATTTGACGGAATGTGAAGATGTGGTCAATACAGCCTCGACCAGGTCTGAAACCGGCCAGGTTCTCACGCGTAAACCGTTCACGTGCGGCAGACAATCGACGGAGTATGATACCGGCGAGAAGTTTAGAGGCAATGCTGATTAACTTAATTCCTCTGTGGTTTTCATAGGAGGATCTGTCACCTTTCTTGTAAATCCGTATGATCACCGATTCACACCATTCAGTTGGAACTTGTTCTTTTTCCCACAATGAGCCCAGGAGTTTCGTTATTTCCAAAACCAAGGGTGAGCCTCCATCTTTGGTAACGGATGGGGACAGCCCGTCGGGGCCGGAAGCCTTATGCCGTTTGAGGTGACTTATTTCCTGGGTAACCTCCATTTCAGATGGAACTTTGCATACATACAATTTCAGGCCTTCTGGCGTGATAAAAAATGACAGCAAAAGCGCCACTGCTGTCGGTTCGCTGTCAATGTCTCAAATTAACGGGTTATGGTATCTTTCGGCCCTAAACCTGGAAAGCGCGGGACAACTACTCTACCTGATGGCTTTGTATTTCTTCATAACCTGTCTCCACGTCATCTGTTGACCTCCACGTGGTTTCCTTCAGCACAGAGCGGCTATAGGGAATAAAAAGCGTTGTGACAGATGACAGCTGGACATACGCAGTACGTGCCCCAGACAGTGAAGTCCACTAATCTGAATTCGATGTGCGGAACGTCATGAGAGGTTCACTAGTGTATGACTGATTTTCTGATGAAATAGGATGGCCATAAATCACTCTAGTGTTCAGTTCAAGCTTTCCTTGAGATCCGACGGATCAGCGTATTTCGGCGGTATCTTTCATACGTCATATGACAGAATATACGTCACGTGGGGATACAGGTTGAGTAACTCTGAGACTATCCTTCTCAACACGTTAGTGAGAGGTTCCTTACTGTGTTGTTCAATCACTCATCGACCTCTATATAAGGCATTTTCTTCCATTCCCTGTGTAACAGGGTGCTCCTATCGCTGGACGTCATATTCGGTTCTATTTTCTTGTTGGCAATAAGTCATTCTTTTCCACTGTATTCTCTGTTGGCCCACTGGCAGTAGACTTATCGTTTCACGAATCGCTATTGATCAGTTTTCATTACCTTTTGTCAAGCACTCCAACTTGTTTTTCACCGTACTTCATCCAGTCCGTGTTCTTCTCCCTCGCCTCCGAATTATGGTTGGCAGATCATCCGAGAGGCACACGAACGTCAGAAAACAGAAAACAGCCACGAATCCACCACAAAAGAGTTCAATCGAGGCAACTTCACCGCACAGCTGGAATCGAAGCGTGCCCTAATTCATCTGGAAGCATTGGAACTCGTGAGCGACAAAGCGGAGTCTCAGTTACACATACAGTTGGATAATTTAGCCACGACGAACACCAGCTCAGAGGAACTCAGCTTAGATGGGGGCGTTTTGGAAGCGATTTGGAAAACACTGCAAATCGATATGGGGGACGAGGACGAAAATGATGAATTCCCCGATCAGTCAACTTGGAAAATATTAAAGTGTAAAAAACAGCAGCTTCAGCCCGGCTCCTACGGACCCCATCCTACTGATTTGTCGGAAGCGAATACCCTCGTTTGGGTCGCGTTTGAACGATCGCTTTCGTTGATAAAAACGATCTATCCCGGGGAGAAGTTGCTTCAAGTAAGCAAGAGTATTTTCGTCTTTTGATTGGGATTTTTTGCATGAGATTCTGCATCGGTATCAAAGCCGATGAGATTTGCTCTTCTTTTGATTATCCGAAGACAACCATCTTTTAATTTATCTTATCGAAGTGCAACCAATACTAATTTGCATTTTTGTATTTCAGGAGCAAGTTGGTATTATTAACATTGCATCTCTTTTTCTGACTCTACCACTTCAAATTAAACTGAAGCTTTGAGTTAGTTTCGCGTGATTTCAAGCAATTCTATCAATTGCATTTGCCTGGGAATCCCACGACACAATTGATGCTCTGAATGCCTCACCTCATCTAATAGGTCGTTGTGTCTGTCACAGTGGTAATGGTGCAGTAGTTTAGTCGCTGCCACCGGCATGCTTTGAACTCTATGGTCCACGGTTCGAGGCCCTCCACCTCCACCCCACTTTGATGGTAGGCAGCTTTGCTGTCGTCCAATTCAATATCACGTCTAACCTAGCGGAATATTACGTGGTTCGCCACTCCAAGTCCCGGTGTTTAGGTTGCCGGTTTCCATCGCTAAACAGCAGGTTCTCTTATTATGGGGTTCACCCCGCCTGCTGTTCATCACACAGGGTGTCGTAAAACTAGTATCACTTCATTTAATCTGAACAATATTTTCAGTACAGAAAATTAGTTTGTGAAAAGGCAACACGTCGAGGAGGGTAGACGGGTGTAAATCTAACTGTGCACCTGGCTAGAACTAGAGGTTCTCGATCGCTGTAATCTAGTCCATAATAAACCTGCTCAACGGCGCTTGACCTAAGTTTTCTTCATGTTGGTTAGACAACCCCTGTGTAGTTCCTGTTACTCGCTGCCCAGTAACATCGCATGGCTACAATTGATCTTGTGGTTGAAACTCCCTCATGGAATACAGTGTCAGTTTGTGAACAGTTTCAATCTCATTTTGTACAGCCATTAACCATGAGCTTTCGTATGGCGGTTTCGGCTGCTCTCTAAAAACTACCGATTTGGATAAGATAACCGAACGAAGATTGGAATGTTGCGAGCAGAGTCAAAGCGGAAACAGGTAATTTTCATTGATTAATGTTGCAAAGATAATGAGCTGATGCACGAACGCCACTGTTTACGACACTCAGCCATATCATTCAATGTCTCTAACCATCGGTTACGATCATCCCGAGGTTCCCAGTCATGGAACGTAACGGGACTTATGTGACCCAGAGTCCTGGTGACAAGTAGTTGAAGATGACAGACATCAGACATCAGTCCTGTTCCAAGTCCAAAAACGATGACTCACAACTATTCAACTCCATCGCAATGTGTATCTGTCTGACTCAAACAGAAAATCAAATCCCTTTTGCCGTGTGTGTGTGTGTGTGTGTGCGCATATTTACGGATGTGTGCGCGCAGATTATTCCAACTGGTCAGGGGATTCTCGGCCCGGTTAGGCTAATGCTAAAATCCCCCGTATCGATTTGGGGCTGACGACTCATTCCCGAGGTCCGCGTGTTGTGTCCGTGACAGTGTGCTTAACAGGGGACGAAAAATCCGCCTGGGGTTCCAGTGAATAATCACACAGTCCTGAGGGGTCATTCGGTAATTGACTTTTATCGTCCCATCATGTGGCGCGTTTTGTTTACTCATGCATGCATGCATGCATACGCATTCACTGCCACGTGTTACCGCTCAATAAAGAGGTCATTCGAAATTGCCATTTCAGGTTCTGTCTCAATTTTTCCTGACTCATGACGAGGTGGTCCAACGTCGTATTCTGCAATCCACGTATCGGATACATGAAAGTCCCGCTCAATCCTCGGTAAGACACGTCTGATGTTTTCTATGGTGAGCCATTTGTCTGGTAGGTTGGGGGAAATTAGTCATTCGAAATTGAACATTGTTAATTCTTTTGGTCTTGTAAATGAGGCGTGCGCTGAAAAGCAGAAAAAGCACAGCTGGGTAGCTGCTTGGGCATGTTTGAGTCTCATCAGTGCAGCGTGAATCCATCATTCCAACAAGAAGATTTCATCTAATCCTTCATTCCTCTCGTGCAGACAATAGTCAGTTTATGAAAGTTTCCAACCGAATCATAACCCTAAAGGTGACTGAGACCTGATGCATCTAGCCGGCTTGCAAATATGGGCTGTGCTATATGGTGTATGTTCACAATGAGAAACGGTCTAATCAGCTGTCCCAGGGTGGCTGAGTGGGTAGTATGCTTGCTTTCTACCTGCGGGGTCCCTGGTCCGACCTCCAGTCTGGGGCCGATGAATTCGCGCGCTGATGGTACAGACCCAACCATGTCGAAACAGCTGTCCAGTTGTGCTTCCCAGCTGTTCTGTTTGCACTTCATCTACTCTATACACGTCAAAATTCACCATATAGCCGGATCAAATCCTCCATTTTTACCATATAACTGTTTAGTGATGTGGCGACTCAGTGGCAGTCCGTGTAACTGATACCAGAGTTCCAATTAATTCAGATTCACACGTTAGATGCCGAACTTCTTAGATACACATTTCAGTCCCTGAGTTGGGTGTTTTTACAACGCGAACGCGAATATGCACGGTGTTATAACTGTACGCCCCCCTTCCCGCCTTGTGGTTTGTGATGAACACAAGTCACTGAACAGGAACAGGTTGACTGTAATTGTGTCAACACGATTTACAGGATAAAAACGGGTGAAATACAGATCAGCAATTATTAAATCTGTCAGCCGATACTGGGGTAAGATCGATAGCTGGGTCGACCACAGTCACGTGATATCCGATGTGAATAAGCTGTGGTCGGATTTGAGCTATAATCACATGCATAGTTAAATGGTTGAGTGATATGTACCACAATAACAGCAAGTCATTTTGATTGAACTTCAATGAATGTTCTTTGGTTGACTGACGATCAGAGAGAGAGAGAGAGAGAGAGTATGGCATAGTTCGTGCGCAGTAGCAATGGAAAATCTCTTCTGATGATTTGCTTCTTTCAATTTATTTCATCATATTCTCTCAAATCAACATTAGCCATTCTGCTGACGGAATCATCGCGTTTTGGTTCTTCCGCATTTGGAGGTATTGAAACCTCCCCCCCCTGCCAGACTACCGATTGCTTGTATCGCACCATTGAAAGGACCTATTCTAACTTCTAACTAGTTGTCTTGCCTAGAGGCAACTGTCGTATCCAGTCCATGATTCTGTGGGACTTTTGCAGCGTTAAAGTTCGTAAAATTATGAAATTATTAATTTCGTGGCGTGGGATCAACGCTATCAAAGATACACTTGTTCCTTACACCTGTTATTTAACCGTTTTGGGATAAATCTAAATTTGAAATCCACATCAAACCTGTTACACAATACATTCAAAGCCATTCCAAATAACGTAAATCGCAAAATCGGGTGCGCAGAGTGATTCTGAACTGGTTTCCGTCCGAGAAAAATTTGGAAAACGTGAGAAGAAAGTTTAATGAATAATGTAAGATGTATTTGTGGTGATCCAGACCTACATGATGGCGCCTACTCTGGAGCGGCGCGTTACAGTTCCAGGACATTGGCGATCAATCAAGTTTGAATGCTGACGTCAATAGCATGTTCATAGCTTCTGAATACACTTCATTGGCGGATGGTGCCAGCCAATCCTAGACAATGCAGACAGAAGCAAGATTATGCAAGCAGTGCTGCAATTCAATTGGTGGATGCCCAGGTAGCCAATAATCTCCCTTTGTACATATTATTTAATCAGCTTCATTTCTTCCAATAAACGAACTACTTACTGCCTGACCCCTGGCCTTTTCCTCGAGTCTCGTTCTCGTGGGACATTGCTTCTGCGGTCCAGTCCGTGATAGCTGATTATCCATTCGGGTCCTGTAATTCATATTGCGTGGTTGGCGTTCCGAATTCCGTGCGTAATACTACTACTACTACTACTATTACAATCTTTACAGTACTACTGGGAGTCACGTGATTTATCTGAGACACCGAGTTTAGACGACAGGCGAAAAGGAATTAGCCAATGAAAGATGAAATAGCCGTTGTACCCGTGTTATATATTCTTAGTGTTTGGGTGCGGCTTTAAGTTACGAGTATAAAACAAACCAGAAGGGAAAGACAACACTTGGAAACGGTGATCATCGAATTCCAATGGTCCGCCAATGTGGAACGGATTGTTTCAACACCGAGTGAATTTATGGAGTCGAATCTTACAGTCATCTTTGTGCGGAGAGTCAAAATATCCTTTAAAAAAATTTACATTCCCAATTAAATTCATTCATGCCTATACGAGTACACAACGAAGAAGGTTAAAGCAGTCAAGGTAGTGCATGTTACCTTTTCAATTCGGGTTTCCCGTACTCTCTCTCTCTCTCTGTACGACAAAATTCCGTGTACGATGGAATCAAACTGACCTGAAC